GAGAAATGCCTCAGTACTTCCTGAGTTGAGGGGCTGCTGTGTGGTGTGGTGGGAATGGAGACTCATTACTACATGGAAGTCAGGCCCCAGACCCCCTTGGCCCTCTCTGGCACCCCCCAAGCAAGGACCTTGGGCCTTCATGACAGCCTAGTGAGAGCTGAAGTCTGGACTTCCTGCTTAGTCTTTCCGTCATGGAGGTGGGACCACCGTTTTTTCCTGTGGTGTTGGGGTGGTGTGTCTTCTTTGGGCCCCAAGTCCCACTGCTGGCCTGCCCTCCTCTCTCCACCTTTCAGCCTTCTCGAGTTTGATTTTATTCATTCGCTGGGTAACAACGTTGTGGCACCTGACCACGTACCCAGCGGTGGTCCTGTGAGCGAGGCTGTAGCACGTGGCCCAGGTGTGCAGCAGCTGCTGCCTGGTGTGTGCGAGGGCACAATGCGGTGCTCACGGCAGTGCAACTGCCTTTGGGGAGGCCATTTCTCCCTGTACTTCTCTGTCTCCCTGCGAGGCCTGACCGTGTGCGTAATGCCAAGGTGGTGGTTAGAGGGATGCGGGGTGGGGAGAAGACCTCTGCCCCACCTTCCTGGGTGCAAAATTCTTAGTGGATTTTGAAGTTCCTAAGAAAGACAGGAGTGGGGAAGGCAAATCTGGAGAGGAGAAAGAAAACTTAAATGGCGACGCCGCTTTCCCAAGGTCACCCCGGGCTGGGTGCAAAGCCACACGGAGCTCGCATGCTCTTAGGGTTTAGCCTCATGCTATAATAGAGGGTTAGCCTTGATCATAGTGACGAAATTGCCCTCATCACTATGAAGCAGCCAGGCCCCAGAAGGGGCAAGCCTGTCTACACTGAGAAGAGAAGGTTCCGTCACAGGTGCTGAAGAAGCAAGCTGCTAATTGACTTCACCCGTGTTTAAGAAATCGAGTCTGTGGCTAGTGTTCCATTTGAGTGGAAGCTGACACTGGGGAGGGATGGTGAGAGCGCGCAAAGGGCAGGGCGCCCCTGCGCAGCAGCTCAGTCCTGGTCCGCGAGCCTCATCACCCAGAACCCTCTAGTGTTCACCTTCACCTCCAGTTTCCCATCCTGGCCTCCAACCGCACGGCTTCATGCAGGGCCTGGATGGCTGCGCTGGCCCGCCCCCACCCCTCTGGGACCAACCTAGAGCCCCTGCTGGTGGACACAGGGCAGCGTCTCATCAGACGAGGTGCTCAGGGAGGATCCCCCCCCCATCAGCTACCACGCAGGGCCCCATTTTGAACCTCGTCCTGCACATTAGAAACGACAGTTGGATGGGCAGTGGTTGAGTGGACTTTGTGGATTCCAACCGGCTCCTAAATAGAGCCCCTGCAGCCCCCCACTGTGGTCAGGGTGTCTGACAGTGTGTCCTTGTGGGATGCCTCCTCCCGATGCTCCAACTCCCCAGAACGTTCCACCGTAGAGGGGCACACCCTGGAGCAGCAGGCAGACCCTGCAGCAGCGGGGCAGACCCTGCAGCAGCGAGACAGACCATGGAGCAGAAGGGCAGACCCTAGAGTGGCAGGGCAGACCCTGGAGCAGCGGGGCAGACCCTGGAGCAGCGGGGCAGACCCTGGAGCAGGGGGGCAGACCCTACAGTGGCGGGGGGGGGCCCGGCGGGGGCGCGGACCCCCGGGGGAGGACCATGGAGCAGAAGGGCAGACCCTAGAGTGGCAGGGCAGACCCTGGAGCAGCGGGGCAGACCCTGGAGCAGCGGGGCAGACCCTGGAGCAGGGGGGCAGACCCTACAGTGGCGGGGCAGACCCTGGCGGCTTCCTGAACCCATGAGATAGCCACGCTCTCGGGGTGGGTCTGTTTCTGTGTGTCCTTTGGCTCCTCAGGCCTCTGTTTGCACCCACGGAGTGACCACAGTGCACATGGAGACCCTGGCCTGGATGCTGCATTCTCCAAGAAGCCCATCTTTGCTGTACACCCAGGATCTGCCCCATGTCTCCCACTGCACAGCCAGGCCGCTAGGATGGATTCAGGACTCCTGGGCTCTGCTGTGACAGCACTCACCAGCACAGTGCTACGGTGGCCGGGGGGCCCAGGATGACAGGGCTGCAGGACCTCGGGTGGTACCCCTACCTCGGTATGCTTTTGTTGCTCAGGCACAAGATGCGATTTAGGAACAGAGAGGGGTCCGCTGGCCACCAGGGTCACAGCAGGGAGAAGCTCTGGCTGTGAGGTCTGCCCTGGGGCTGCTGGTGGGGAAGGCCACACGGAGTTGTCTGAGAACAGGACGAGGCTGTGTCGAGACCCCCCGACGGCTCAGCACCTGGCCCTTACCGCCACCTGAGCACCGTGTCCTGGGCAGCTGCCGCGCAGACTCAGTGGGCGGGTGCCCTTACCAACGCAGGGTCTAATTTTCCTCTCTAAAATTCCTAAGTGTCTTGGGTACATCACTGAAATGATCTCTATGGTTTCTACAGAGCGCAAATTCACATTCGCTACATAGAGGGAAACTGTTCTTGACAGCATAAGGTTGCGATCAGCTACGATTTTTATTTATTTCAGCTTATAAATTAAAAATTCTGGTAATTCAACATAATCTCTTCATCTGGGGCTTTTCTGTTCAGGTCTGTGCTTTAGTTCTAGGCGGCTGTAAACCTCAATGTGCTTTCAGACGTGGGTCCTCACCCTTCGCCCCGTACTCACCTCCGAAGAAAGGTTCTGACACTTGGACACCTGCACGCTACTGCAGGAGGGCAGCAGTGCTTACTGCCGTCGCATACCCGAGCTCTTCGCCCTGACGTTTACTAGTCCCCTTGTTTTATTGCATCAGCTCTGGACTCGTTAGTATAAAGAGAAATCAAGAGAAAAGATATCTACAATCTTGGCTGGAGAAGTACACTGGGATCTGTTGAGCTGAGCCATATGTACAGAATATAAACATATTTATACTTTCTATGTACATAGTTTCTGGTTACCTCTGCATTATAAATTGTAGGTTTCACTTAGATTCTACAAAAATAATCATTTGGGATGGGCACATGCAAACCAGTACACGTAAACCTACTTATAAAACACACCTGGTTTTCTCCTTTGCTTTTAAATATAAACGTTGCTTTTTAGCCTCAGCTAAATGATTTAAGTGCAAACCCCCAAGTCCCCAGTGAAAAGTATAAAACCTGCTTCTACCCACAGCAGCACATGGCGTCGACTGCTCTCTGGCTATGAGTAAACTCTGATTCTGTCACCTGGGCATTGAGGTGCCCTTCCCACTTCTTCAGGCAACAGACGACCCTCTGGAGCCAAAATCTTTGCTCCCATTTTTTGTTGTTTTTCAAAATATTGCAAACAGTAAATATTTCTTAAAATAACATCATCGTGGCTTCTATATTGAGACATGAACACAACTAAGCCTCTCCCTCGCGCCCGGGCCCAGGGTCGAGGACAACACGGTGACACCGACGCTCAGTGGCCGGCGTGGCCGTCTGCGTAGACAGGCGATGGGGCCGGCACGAAGGGCTGGTCCTGCTTCTGATCCTCCTTCAGGCCGGCCGCCTGGTCTGTGATGGAGAAGGACAGCCGGTCGTGCTCCACGATGTGCACTTGGTCCTCGTCCTTGTCCTTCTTCACGTAGAACATTTTCCTGAACTTTTTCAGCTCGTGCAGTTCACAGAAGGTTTCCAGAACCACCAACATGGCGATGAGGCCCAGGAGCAGGTAACCTGTGTGGGGAGTACGGGAGAGTGTCGGTGTGGTCTGGTCACGGAAAAGGCAAGACCTCGCCCGCACCTACACCAGCGGGAACGCCAGCGAGTGTGTGCACGGCCGCTTCGAACTTCGAGGAGCTGCCCAGACAGACACTGGTGAAGGACGCGCTTTACCTTCAGTGACCTTGGGTCGTTTAACCATGGGTGATTCTTGGAATTGAAGAAAAAGAAAAAAGGCTGGGCTGGTGTATACTGTTCAAGACAGATAACCTGGGCAAGCCAGTGCCGTGGTGGCTAAGGCGGCTGGATCTCATGTGGCTGACTGTGCAGTCAAGTCCTGGACCCGGGAGCTTCAGGAAACATACCAGGCGCGTGCCCAAAATCCCAAGAGAAAGGAAAGGCAGAGAAGGGACTGCAGCGAGCCTGTCTCCCATGGGGGTGCTTTCTCACCGTCTCTCTCTCTCTCTCTAATGAGTACACACTGGGTACTCACCCAAGGGCAAAGTCTTTGAATCATCACAGGATACTCAGAACAAAGCTTGGCACTTTTTAAAAATAACTCAATACTCTTACTGTTATTTCTACTACAGAATAAGAGGTTTAGTAATAGAAACTACAGTTTAAGCTATATTAGAACTTCCCTGTAAAAATTCCTGCTGATATTAAAGAGGTCTTTTTGGGTGGCTAGTCACACCTGCACCCGAACCCAGCAGCAAACCGAAGTCGTCCATTATGTAATGGCTTTTCGGCCACGGGTCATTCACTGGACCACTCCACCACCTCCTCATTCCAAAAGCGAGGCTATTGATCCTGATGTAGGGCTAGCCCTTGGAATTTGTGATGGGAGATTGGTGGCTCTAAGGTAGTTACATATTTTTGTTGTTGTTGTTGAGGTTTATTTTTTTGCTCGTGCGCTCGCCAGACAGACAGAGACAGAGAGACAGAAAGCTAGAAATCACCCCCCAGGGGGGATGGTCATGCCGCAATCCATTCTCCTCCATTCTCCTCTCGAGATCTTGGGCACGCACATGCACACGTGCCCGGCATGAGTTTTAAGCCACGGGTCCGTGACGCGAACCGTCGACTACGTGGGAGTCCAGCAACATAGCCATTACGCTAACTGCTGGTTCCCATTAATTACATTTTAACAATCAGTTTCCAGGGGGAAAAATTCATTTATGGGAAGAAACAGAAAAGTAAAAACGAAACTCCAACAATAATGAAAATCCCAATTTGATATCCCAACAGTAAAATGTCAAAGGGAGAGTCTTCAGGAAATACATAAGCTAGGGAAGCTAGAAAGAAGGAGGCAGACCTCTCAAGGAGCAGTTTCCTCACCTCGGACTGAGAGCGGTCGCAAGCCTGCAAGTGTGCCTACGCGTCTACGAGCGGCGGCAGCAGCGTCACGTCACGCTGCCTGCTGACTCGTTCCCTCCCCTTGCTCACTCTCCAGGAGACTCCTGAGCCTTGCAAAACACCCATGGGGTTTCAGGCAAAGGCTGTGGGATTTTCTCCTACTCCCAATGAAGGTCCCCTTGAGATGTTAATTTGTTAGATAAACAAATTCTTAGCATTCAGAACATACGCTCTGTAGACTTCAGGCAACATGGGCGCCACGCTGCATGAGTGACAGGGTGTTTCTCAGACAACAGGCCACGGCAGTACGGCAGTGCAGGGCCCTGCCCCATGACAGGAGCTGGGTGGAAGGCGGGAGTTGCAGACAGAGGGCTACAGCACCATGAGGCCTGCCCGGGCACCTCTTTC